GGCGCGCGACGGGTTTTTGCCCCGTTACTCGGCGCGTCGCCCCCGGGAGGCGCTGCAACGGGCGATGGGGACCCGCGCGTCGCCCCCCGTCGCCGCTCCTATCGGCCCCGAACCGCCGCCAGCGGCCCCGTCGTCGCCGCCAGCGGCCCCGTTGCCGCCACTTGCGGCCCCGGCTCCGCCCCGACCATGCCTCGTCGACAGCCGCGGCGCACCGGGGGCACGTACACCGCCCCTCCCCCCCCCCCCCCCCCTTTTCCCGTCGCCCGTCGCGGCTCCTTCGGGGGCCGCGACCTGGGGGAGGGGGGCGAGCGTCGCCCCTTCTACCGCCTGCTTTGGCGCCCAGGGAGGCCGCGCGTCGGCCCTGCCCCCCCCCCGTAACCTCTCTACCCGCCATCCCGCCCTGCCTTGTGTTCGGGTTTGGGGGTGGCGAGTGGGGGGTGGCGGGTGTGTGGTCTCCCCAGCTCCTCCTCCTCCTCTGTCTCCCACTGCTGCAGCTGCCGCTGAGGGGGGTGGGTGTGTGGGAGTCGACGGAGTGGTGCTATGAGGTGTGGTGTGAGTGACCCTCGGGGTGCAGTAGGGGGTGTGTGAAATGGGGGTGGGATAGTTTGGGGAGGTTGAAGGGGGTGGCCGCCGAGAAGCCAGCAGCTCCAGTCGCCCGTGAGACCGTTGCGCCAGTCGCCCGTGAGCCCATTGCGCCAGTCGCCCGTGAACCCGTTGCTCCAGTCGCCCGTGAGTCCGTTGCTCGTCTGCCGCTACTTTTAGCCGCGGAGCCAGTTACTCCAGTAGCCCGTGTGCCAGTTGCTCCAGTTGCCAGTGTGCCAGTTGCTCCAGTTGCCCGTGTGCCAGTTGCTCCAGTTGCGCCGTGTGCCAGCAGCTTCAGCTGCCGCCAACTACCTCCTCTCCTCTCATAGTCCCTCCTCCTCCACACTAGCCCTCTGCGATAGCCTCTAGCTTTGCTCATAATTGTGAACTTTAAACTATTGCTTCTTGAACTTGTGCTCAGAATGTGTGGTGACATTGTGATCCACCCTGAGCTTGTACTGCTTTGCTTGCTCTGCTGATTACACCCCACTTTGGCTATGGGGGTGTGTCAGAATATTATGCTCTAGCCTGTAGTGGGGTGCTCTATAGCGAGTACAACCCTTCTAGGGTTTGCTATTTGTATCCTCATTCTTGCTACTGCAACCCTCTTCTTTCTTCTAAATTTTAACAAGAAGGGGCCGGGAAGGGTGGCGACGGGGCCACGAAGGGTGGCGACGGGGCCGAGAAGGGGCCGCAAGGGGCCTCAAAGGGCGGCGACGGGGCCGCTAGGGGCGGCGACGGGGCCGCGAAGGGGCCGCGAGGGGCCGAGAAGGGCGGCGACGGGGCCGCTAGGGGCGGCGACGGGGCCGCTAGGGGCGGCGACGGGGCCGCGAGGAGCGGCGACGGAGCCGCTAGGGGCGGCGACGGGGCCGCGAAGGGCGGCGACGAGGCCGTAACGGGCGGCGACGGGGCCGCAAGGGGCGGAAACGGGGACGCGAGGGGCGGCGAAGGGGCCGCTAGGGGAGGCGACGGGGCCGCGAAGGGTGGCAACGGGGCCGCTAGGGGCGGCGACGGGCCGCGAAGGGTGGCGACGGGGCCGCTAGGGGTGGCGCGAGTGGCCGTGAGAGGGGCCTCTAGGAGGGCGCGACGGGCCGCTTGAGAAAAGGGAATGATTGGACTATGAAAGAGTTGGGTACAAGTACTAACCCTAATTGGGTTGTACCCCTTATGGGCTACCCCACTACAGCCTACACTAATGTATAAGCTATAATGTTCTGACACACCCCCATAGGCAAAGTGGGGGAGAACAAGGGGTCACAAGACCAGTCAAGCAAAGTAAAGCAAAGCAAGCTCAGGGTGGATCACAAAGTCACCACACATTCCGAGCACAAGTTCAAGGCCACAAGGCCAGTTCACATGTAGGATTACATATATATATAAGGCTAGACAAGTAAGAGCAGGTGTATATATATATATATGCAACAGTACAAACAAGGTCAAGGAGTGAGCAAGTGGGGCAAGGTAGGCACAAGACCCAGCTGAGTACAGAAGCGCTGATGATCACAAGGCGCAAGTGCCTTGGTGAAGATATCAGCAGTGTTGGCCTCAGAGGCCACGTACGCAAATCGCAACTGACCACGCTGCTGTAGCTCACGAGCAAGGAAGTAGCGGAGAGGAATGTGCTTCGTTCTATGCTCCAGTCTCTGCTCTCGACACAAGGCCAGCATGGCCTTGTTGTCTACGTACAGCACTGGAGGAGAACGAGGTGGCTCTCCAAGGTCAGTCAGCAGGTAGGTGAGCCAGCGAAGCTCCTGAGCAGCCATGGCCCCGGCGTAGATCTCAGCCTCACAACTGGAGCCGAGAACAGAAGACGAGCGGGTAGCCCGCCACGAAACAGAGCCGGAACCAAGGCTGAAGGTGTAACCCTGTGACGACCGCTGCGTAGCCTGGTCGTCAGCCCAAGAAGCGTCTGCGTGCCCAGTGAGGACCACTGGACTCCGCCCTCCAAGCACAAGCCCCATGCCCGACGTACTGCACAAGTAGCGCAACACCCTCTTCGCTGCAGCCATGTGCTCCGGTCTGTGTCTCCCAGGAGCAACATAGCGTGCAAGAATGCTAAGAGGGTATGCAAGGTCAGGTCGTGTGCAGGTCATCAGGTACATGAGGCAGCCAACAAGCTCTGGGTACGGGCCACTCGACTCTACGGACTCATCCGAAGGCAGAGCTGAGAGCGAGTGGCGAGTAGGCAGAGGAGTGGCCTGAGGCGAGGAGTACGTGAAGTCGAAGCGCTGAAGGACCTGCTGCACCATGTGTGACTGAGTCAGGGTAATGGTGCGGCGTGCTCTTTGCCGGGTGATCTGCAAGCCAAGGTAGCTGCGCAGTTAACCCAGGTCTGTGCACGTGTGTCTCTTCTGCAGCTCAGACTTCACGTGGGCGAGTCCAGCAGTGTCAGCAGTGGCAAAGACCAAGTCGTCGACGTACACGAGGATGTAGAACGGCGGCAAAGAGGTGTCGGTGCGCAGAAACAGCGACGGGTCGGCAGTAGAAGGAGCAAACCCAAGAGCCGCAAGTGTAGTCCTCAGTGTGTCGTGCCACTCACGGGGCGCCTGGCGGAGACCGTAGACGGGCCGCCGGAGGCTCCACTGGGTGCCAGGGGGAAAAGACCCAGTGAAGCCAAGTGGGCGACGCAGCCAGATCTCCTCGTGCAGGCTGCCCTGCAAGAAAGCAGTGCTGAAGTCAAGAGAGTGCAGCTCGTAGTCGCGGTGAGCAGCTATGTGCAGCAGTACCCGAAGAGTGGTCATCTTCGGGGTGGGAGAGAAGGTCTGAAAGTAGTCAACTCCCTGCCGCTGACTGAAGCCACGAGCCACGTAACGCGCCTTGAAGACAGGCGGAGAACCCGGCGGCCGCTTCACCCTGAAAATCCACATGCCACTGACGATGTTCGCCCCAGGCGGGGGAACCTCGTCAACGTAGGTGCCTGTGGACTTCCAGGAAGCCATCTCTGCGTTCATAGCTGCCTGCCACTGAGAGGAGTAGGTACCCTCTATCGCCTCCGCGTAAGAGCGCGGAGTCGGGATGTCAAGTGCATCCGGGTCTCCCTCAGGGGTAAGCAGTACGGACACGAGATGAGGTGGAAGGAGCAGCCAGACACTGGAACTCCTCCTGCTTCTCCTCAAGGACGTCCGTGCCAAGGGCACACTCACCCCCGACGGACGGAGGACAGACAGACTCAGCGACAAGACTAGCAGCGTAGTCTAGACGACAGCGAGCAGCAAAGTCGACGAGCTCAGCAACTAGGGCAGACGAAGCAGTGGACTCAAAAGAGGGGTCAGTGACGACAGTAGCAAGGAGATGCGTGACCGTAGGACTGGCAGCACGAAGAGAGTCCGACTCCGGGTCGGCAAGAGCAGGAAGAGAGGACTCAGGAGGAGAAGGCAAAGGGGCACGCAGAGGAGCAGTGAACGGATGCAGAGACATCCGGTGCGTGCCAGGGACAGGAGGAGGACACTGACGCGAACCACGACCACTAGTGCGAGCAGCACGGACAAGCGACGCAGGGCGAGACGCAGGCTCACGACGCTCAGCAAGACCTCCTGTAGGACCAGTGTAGGGAGAAGGAGCAGGCAGTGGGGAGGACGGCTGTAACTGTAACTGTGACGGGACAGGCTGAGGACACTCTAAGGGAGGAGGAGGACTAGTAGAAGGCGGGAGACCAAGAACCTGCTGAAGGAGCGGAACGAAGTACGACCGAGGCCGCGCGGCGACTCCAGACAGAGCAGGGACAGCACCAGCACCCCCAGCGGCAGCACCAGCGCCAGGAGCACCTCCAGCTCCAGTACCTCCAGCAGCACCAGTAGTACCCCCAGCAGGACCGCCTCCTGGACCGACAGCAGTAGCCTCAGCGCCAACACCCTCAGCAGCTCCAGCTCTAGGCGTACGCGCAGGCCCAGCAGCTCCAGTACTCCCAGTACGAGCACCTCCGGGACCCGCGGCACCGGCACCCTCATTAGTCGAAGAACCTCCAGCTCCAGCAGCACGCCTACAGCGCCGGGCAAACCACTCACGCAGCTCCTGTGGAGAGAGGGGCTCCCGTCGAGACGAAGCACCCGGAGAACCTCCAGGTCTAGCACCGCCAGACACCACACAAGTAGGCCCAACTCCCTCAGGCTCCGCACCCCCCGGCTCAGCACCTCCAGGCATAGCACCCCCAGGCTCAGGACCCCCAGGCGTAGCACCCCTAGGCTCAGCACCCCCACGCTCAGCACCCCCAGTCGAAGCACCTCCAGGCTCAGGACCCCCAGGCTCAGCACCCCCAGTCGCAGCACCCCCAGGCTCAGCACCCCCAGTAGTAGCACCCGCAAGCTCAGCACCCCCAGGCGCAGCACCCACACGCTCAGCACCCCAAGAGTCAGCACCCCCAGGCTCAGCACCCTCAGCACCACCAGAGTCACCAGTAACCTCGACAGGCTCGACTGCGTCTACCTGGGACACACCTGAAGGGGCAGGACCCTGAGGGGGGAGGGGGTCTACCAGGGGGGACCTGGTACAAGGAAGAGCGGTGGCGGGGGGAGGGACGGAGTGCGGTAGGGGAAGAGGCAGTAGTAGGGGACCGACTCGTCAAACGTGACGGCCTGGGAGGACAAAACACGGCGAGAGGTGGGGTGGTAGAACTGCCACCCTAGCGCGTCAGGGGGGAAGCCAAGGAAGATGCAAGGAGCAGCACGAGGGGACAGCTTGTCCGCAGACAAGTCGCGGACAAACGTCCGAGATCCCCAGACACCGAATGCAGACGCATCGCCAACCTTCCCCGTCCACAGCAAAGCTGGGGAGGTCTCCGGCATGGAGACCCTGAGCTGAAGGTTGATCTGATGCGCCGCGTACCGAACCGCAAACGGCCACAGAAAATGGGGGGCAGCCGCATGCATCATGGACGTACGAGCGACCTCCATGACCATGCCAATGCGGCGCTCAGCAATCCCATTTTGCTGTGGAGAGTCTGGAAGCGTGAAGGTCTGGCGGATGCCTCGTGCACGACAGTAGGCTCGCAGAAGGCCAGACGAGAACTCTCCGCCTCTGTCAGAGTGCAGACGCAGAACAGGAAAGTCCGAGCCGAAGCTCTGCCTGAGCTGGAGACGAGCTGCGCGGATCCAGTCGATCAACACCTCAGTGACATCACCCTTGCTGCGCAAGGGGAAGACTGTTGTGTAACGCGAGTAGTCGTCAACCACCAGCAGGAAGTAGCGCTCGTGACCCTGTCCACGGACGCGGGCCGGGCCCCACACGTCCATGTGAAGCGTCTGCAGCGGGGCCTCTGTCGGAGGAAACTGAAAGGAGTGAGGGGCAGCCCGCTGCCGCCCCTCGACACAGGGGACGCAGGTAGGGCCAGGCCCAGGAGGAAGGGGAGGGAGGTACCGAGGAAGACCAGAGACAAGGACACGGGAGGCCATGCCTCGGAGACGAAGCAGGGAGGGGTGACCAAGGCGGTGGTGCCAGAGGAGAGTCTCGTGAGACAGGAGGCGACACGAGCAGGGGGCAGACTCCGGACCAGACCTGGACGCTGCAGCAAACACCTGACCCGACACAGCTACCTGACCAGACGCAGTGACTGGAGGAGACGCAGTGGTCAGTGTGTACAGGCTCGACCCCGGCCGGCGTGTAAACGTGGCCAGGTGTCGGCCTGTCCGAGCGTCCGTGCAGTGGGTCACCCGCTGAGTGAACTGGTGAACCCCCGCATCCTGTAGGTCAGCACCACTCACCAAGTTCGTTGAGAACGAGGGGAGGTAAAGACCAGACAGGGTGCCAGAGGGGGCCGCCGGACACGGGAGGACAGTGGAGTAGTGAGCAAGGACAGGACCCCCAGAGGAGTCTGCCAGAGAGACTGCAACTGGCCGACCAAGCGGCGTGAGTGTGGTGCGGCCTCGAAAGAAGGAGCGAGAAGCCCCCGAGTCAAGGGTGAAGGTGTGGGAGGCCGAAGCCGACGCAGTGCCTGAGAGAGCAGACTCACTAGCACCTGAGGGAGCAGACGCACGAGCACCTAAAGCAGCAGCCTCGCTAGCACCTAGAGCAGCAGCCTCACCAGTACCTAGAGCAGCAGTCTCAATGCCCGGGTCGGGCGGAAAACACCGGTAACAGTCACCCTCATCACAAATAGTCACAGCATACATGGCACCAAGAATAGCATCAAAGTCAAGGTCAAAGACAGCTACTCCCGCCCTAGAAAGCTCGCCCCAGCGGGGGATCTCAGTGGCCTCCGGGAACTGGTGACGCCAAGCGTCCGTCAGGCGGCCAAAGCAGCGCTGGGTGGAGTGCGCACCCCCGCACTGCTCACCTGCGCGGTCGCCGGTGCGTAGGACGTAGGTGCACGGATCAGTACCCCCACCCCGCTGGCGTGCAGCGTACCACTCACGGAGCTGCTGAGGGGGGGGGGGGATGTCACGAGTGCGCTGCTGCTGCTGGTGCTGTTGCTGCTGCTGGCGCTGACCACCACCGGAGCCGACCCTCTGCGCAGCGCCACCCCGACCAGCTCCACCTCCACCGCCACCGCCTCCTCCACCGCCGCCACCTCCGCCACCTCCGATCCCACCGCCACCGCCGCCGCCGCCTCCGCCTCCACTGCCGCCACCGACACCTCCACCCCCGCCACCACCCCCACCGCCACCCCCACCCCCTCCACCGCCTCCACCGCCTCCTCCACCGCCCCCGCTAACTCCTCCAGCGCCTCTGCCCCCCTTGCCCTTGCCAGGGCGGCGTCTCCCGCTAGGGGTAGACGCCGCACTGACCGACTCAAGCCCAACGAGGTCGGCCGCAGCAGCAAAGGCAACAGAGGGCAAAAGGGGGGAGGGGGAACACCCCTCAAAGATGGGGGTGCGAGGGTCACCACGAGAGGCTCCTACAACTACTATGCTCTTCTCTGCTGCTAGGAGGGCCTTCTCGAGGAGGTCAACGGTGAGAGTGGTGGGGCAAACTGAGAGGAAGTGGTCCCTGACTACGCGAAGGGAGTCAGGGAGCCGGGTGACTATGTAGTAGGGGGTGATGTACATGGGGGGGGGGGTTCTTGGCGCAGAACTCAGCAGGAAGCGCAGCGCGGTAGCGAGTGTCACTAGTGCGGAGGTGCGTAATGAGGTCAGCGACTGTGGGAAAGGCACCAAGGTCAGGGAAGAGGTACGGTAGCATGAGGCGGCTCAGTGCAGCAGCGGCAGGGGAGGAGTAGCGTGCAACTACAGCGTCGTACAAGGTCTGAGCACTCTTGTACTGACTAAAGTGCGCACGCTCAGAGGTAGGCAGGTGGCGACGCACAGCAAGACGTGCAGCAGCATCGCATGTGGCCTACTGTGAGCGAATAGTGGCGTCGGCATCAGGAGCAGGGGCAGGAGAGGCACCAGAGGTGAGGTCAAAGAGGGAGAGACCGTCTGCCCTATCGCACTGTAGGAAAAGCTGCAGGTCATCTACCGAGACGTCAAAGTCAATGGCCCGACCCTCAGCGTCAAAAGCGAGGACACTAGGGGTAGCCATGACAGCAGTAGACTAGCAGCGCGAACAGTAGGGTAAGGGCAGTGCAGTGACAAAGGCGTTGCTCTTACCGGACAGGGCGGCTCGGGCGGCTCGGCGGCTCGGCGGCTTGGCAACTGGGCGGCTCGGCGGCTCGGCGACTGGGCGGCTCAGCGGCTCGGCTCGGGCGGCTCGGCTGCTCGGCGGCTCGGCTGCTGGGCGGCTCGGCGGCTCGGCTGCTGGGCGGCCCGGCGGCTCGGCGGCTCGGCGGCTCGGCTGCTGGGCGGCTCGGCGGCTCGGCTGCTCGGCGGCTCGGCTGCTTGGCGGCTGTGCCGCTAAGGTAGGCGGGGTCGCGAAGGGCGGCGGGGCCGCTGAAGTGAGCGGCGAGGGGGCCGCAGAGGAGGCGGCGGGAGGGCCGCTGAAGGGGCGGCGTCGAGGCCGCTGCAGGAGTGGCGACGGGGCCGCTGAAGAAGGCGGCGGGGCCGCTGAAAGGGCGGCGACGGGCCGTAAGGGGAGGACGGCGACGGGGCCGCTGTAAGGGCGGCGACGGGGCCGCTGTAAGGGCAGCGACGAGGCCGCTGTAAGGGCTGCGATGGGCCGTAAGGGGAGGGCGGCGACGGGCCCTAAGGGGAGGGCGGCGACGGGGCCGCTGCAAGGGCTGCGACGGGGCCGCTGTAAGGGCGGCGACGGGGCCGCAGGTGAAAGGGCGGCGACGAGCCACACGGGGAGGGCGGCGATGGGCCGCTGAGGGCGGTACGACGGGGCCGCAAAAGGGGCGGCGCGACGGGGCCACGAAGGGGCGGCGCGACGCGGCCGCGAAGGGCGGCGCGACGGAACCGCTAAGGGCGGCGCGACGGGCCGCTAAGGGCGACGCGACGGGGCCGCTAGGGAAGGCGCGACCCTAAGCGCGCTTCGGGCAGGGGCAGGACACGCCCCGGGCAGGAAAAAAAAGTCGGTGGGCCCTAGGAACAGTTCCCACTAGGGAACCTGCTCGATACCATGAGAAAAGAGAATGATTGGACTATGAAAGAGTTGGGTACAAGTACTAACCCTAATTGGGTTGTACCCCTTATGGGCTACCCCACTACAGCCTACACTAATGTATAAGCTATAATGTTCTGACACCGCTAAGGGCAGGGGACGCAACGAGAGGGCGGCCCACAGGGCGCGCCTCGGGCAGGGGCGACTCGCGCTATGGGCAGAATTTTTTTTTTTTTTTCGATTTTTAGTGGTGGGCCCTAGGAAGCGTTCCTACTAGGGAACCTGCTCTATACCATGTGAAGAAATGAGGAATGATTTACTAAGGGAAAGGCTGGGTACAAATACAAACCCTAGAAATGTGTTGTACCCCATATGTGCTACCCCACTATAGCCTACATAGGCTAAGTCATATAAGTCTTACATATTTCAGCTGCAGGAGTGGAAATAGACCCGAAGAAAATTGCGACGATTCAAGCATGGCACGTGCCGACCAACTTGACCGAGTTGCAGAGTTTTTTGGGGTTCGTCAACTACGTGCGCCGGTTCGTCCCCGACATGGCGAAGCTGACTGCCCCGCTGACAGACCTGCTGAGGAAGGGGGTTGAGTACACATGGGGGGAGAAAGAGCAAGCTGCCTTCTTGGCCCTCAAAAACATTTTGTGCTCACCGTCCGTGCTGTACATCGCAGATCCACACCGTCCGTTCGAGCTCGTCACTGAGGCAAGTGACATCGCTGTGGGAGCAGTACTGTTGCAGGATTTCGGGAACGGCCTCCAGCCAATCGCGTACGAGTCCCGCAAGCTGCACCCGCCCAAACGCAACTACCCGATACACGACCGCGAAATGTTGGCGATCGTGCACGCGTTCAAGGTTTGGCGGTGTTACCTGACTGGCGCCGACGTGACAGTACGGACAGACCACCGATCACTAAAGTACCTACGCGCCCAACCAAATCTCAATCCGCGACAGATTCGCTAGTTGGACTTCCTCGAGTCCAACTTCCACTACACGATTACGTACAAGAAAGGCGCCTCCAACATCGCCGACGCACTCACTCGCCCTACCGCCCAACTCTATGCCATCCTACTCGCCCAAACCAACCCGCTTTTAACAGGCCTATTCACCCACGGATACCGCACCGACCCGATTTCACGACCGGAAATTCACAGCAACTGGCAGAAGCTAAAGGAGTTTATTACGTAAAAACAGGCACCAACCGCATCTGGGTACCCGCGTACTCACTACTGAGGGAGTTGCTATTGTAGGAGGCACACGACGGAATTACCTCGGGACATTTCGGGGTAGAAAAACGCGACAGCAACTGCAGCGGTATTACTACTGGCCGGAGCTGTTGACCGACGTGCAGCAGCACGTGGGCTCATGCCCCACGTGTCAGGTGATGAAGAGCTCGAGGAAGCGGAAGGCGGGTCAATTGCAGCCGATACCACCGCCCGAGCGCGCCTGGCAGCAGGTTACCATGGACTTCGTCACAAGGTTACCTTCGAACCCTCGGGGTAACGACGCGGTGATGGTCGTCGTTGACAGGTTGACGAAGATGGCACACATCGCTGCGTGCAAAAAGTCGATCTCAGCCGAGGAGACCGCTCGTCTGTTCATCGCAGCCGTTGTTCGCCTGCACGGGATACCAGCAGCGATTATCAGCGACAGGGACACGAAGTTTACCAGCAACTTCTGGAAGAACCTCTAGTTCAGGACCAGGCTACAGTTCAGTTCGTCGTATCACCCCGAGACCGACGATCAAACGGAGCGGACGAATCAGACGATGGAGCAGTTAATTCGTGCCACGTGCGACGACCCCACGACTTGGGAGCAGCAGCTGCCGCTGATCGAGTTCACGTACAACAACGCCACGTCAGCAACGACGCAGCAGTCCCCCTTCTACCTAAACTACGGGCAAAATCCTACAGTGCCCATGACGCCGAGTCCGGACAACCCAACACCACGCGCACAGCAATTCGCCGAAATTCTGCAAGCTGCCCGCACCAGAGCCGCAGAAGCAATTAAAAAAGCAAACGTCATCGCTAAGTGCAACGCTGACCGCCACCGCCGCCAAGTCACACACCAGTCAGGGGATTACGTAGTGCTCAACACGCAAAATCTGCGACTGCCCGACGTACCAAAACTTCGACCGCGCTATTGTGGCCCATTCCAAATCAGCCACATGATTACGCCAGTAACCGCGCACCTACTGTTACCGACCGACTGGTGCATCAGCCCTTCGTTCCACGTCAGCTTGCTTCGCCCATACATCCCAACCACAAGCCAACTGCTTCGCCACCGCCCGCCATCCATGACTCGCCCTGCATCAGAGCCGATCATCGAACCCGAAAAAATCCCGAGTCATCGGATTCGCCACCCCACGGGAATCAGGAGGATTGAATTCCTCGTTCGCTGGAAGGACCGCACGCCAACTGAAGATAGCTGGGTGCCCCTGGCCAACATTGAAAACCACCCTGCCCTGCAAGTGTACCTGAGGAGCCGTGGATTCCGCGATATACATGCACTCGCGTAGCGGAGGGGGCTTCTTGAGGGGGGGGGGGGGGGGGAGGGGTAGTGTAAGGAATTTTCTCGGCATTCCTTACGGAGCCCGACTACATCGCGTACAGCAACAGCCGTTGTTCGCCCGTTACTGCTAACGGGACTTCGCCAACTTCGCTCGCACTGTTTTGCCAAACCTCGCACTGCTGACCCGGCCGTGTCGGCCTACGCTTCGGGACTAGCCCGAGCCTCGCTGCCAGCATAGCACTAGCTAGCTCGCACGCACCGCGTTACCGTTTGCATGTTTCGCGTATAAATGTTCGCTCATGCCTTCGCTTACATCTTTGTACTCGTTTGACACCTTAGTGCAATTCTTGCTACTTCGATTCATTGCACCCGTAACAGTGCTTTACACTTCCAGCTCTCGCCCTAATTGGATACTAACTGCAAACTCAAACAAATCCAAGCTCGATTAAGATGAACGAACTATATACTGATAACGACTCTAAGCTGCGTACATTTTCCATCAAACGGCAAATCGGCCAATTTCCTCCACGCCTTCTCTTCTTCCACCCACGCCTGCAAATCGCCCTTTCCCCGTCCACCCAACCTAGAGCCCCCCACAGACACCACCAATCCTCCATCCAAGACCGCTAAATGCCGAAGACCCCCACCGTTCCTCCACGAAGATATGATCTTCTTGGCGAGATCAGCTCTCCAACCGGGAATCCCAAGGCCTAAGGACGTTACAATGTCTGCTGTTTTGCTGCTGCTGTAGATTTCTTTTAGCGAGGACGGCTGGGACCAGGAGTGGGTGGACGGATGGAAAGAGATAATAGAGGGTTCTAGAGAGGGGAGGAGTGCGCCTGAGAAGATGTGCCAGTCGCCGTTGAGAGCAAAGGAGAGATGAGGAGAGCTGCCAAGGAAAAACAAAAACAGAAACATTTTTTTGAGAAACAAAAAGACGGGAGAATTATAAGACAATGCGAATCATGTGGGGTTACTTGAGCGGGAAGCTTTCAATGAGGGAGTGGGTGAGTGGATGGAGCATTGCCGCACCAGGCAGGGCATGAGGGAGAAGGCAGCTCCGTCCATGTCCACTTGCTGGTTGCTCCCCTCCCTGCCTGCCATCTCGACTCTCCCTCTCCCTCCAGATCCCCTCCACTTTCTCGTTCTCCTCCTCCAGATCCCTCTCTGTCTCCCTCCTCCTCCCCCTCTTCCTCCTCCTCTTCCCCCTCCTTCTCCTCCACCCAAGCTTCTCGTGCCTCCCACCACACCTCCTCCTCACTTTCTTCTGCCATCCCACCATCCGAACCACTGCCCTGCACTCGAAAATTCTGTACCTTCTTTACCACATACCCATTCATGCCGTTACTCCTCTTCACCCTCCATCCCCCTTTCTCTCCGCCCCCTCCGCCCCCTCCACTTCGTCCACTATCCGCTCCCCTCTCCCCTACCCCTTCCCCTTCCCCTCCCGAGTCCCCACCCCCCTCTGCCCCCCCCACCTCTTCACTCAGCCGCATCGCAACCACCTCGCCAGGCCGTGAAGACACACCCATGTACACGCACCGACTAATCACCGACGAGAACAGCACCACCTTCCCGTGCGCACCAATCGTGTCGCTCAGCTTCAGCTGACGTGGGAACGGAGGGCCCTCGCTCCAACGACCAGTGGACGAGTCAAACACTGCCACCTGGAAGGAAAAAAAGAGCTGTTCAACTCAAGAGAAATTACCTCATTTTCTGTAATAAAAATTACATCTATAATATTTTTTTTCGGCAGAGAAGACAGCACATATTTGTTTCTGCAACTTTGGTGATGTGTCATGCAAAGACGCGGCACCTTGTTGACGTGGCAGAAGGGGTAGGAGCCCCCCGAGTCATCGTCGGTGCCGAACGCGAGGAGGTAGCGACCCACCACCTCCACACACCGCACGAAGCGTGGCCCGCGCCATGGCAGGGCGAACCAGCGTGATAGCACTGCAGTAAGAAAGAAGAGACAAGAGCAACAAGGAAAGACATCTTGGGGGCCGAATCCTTGAGAAAAAACACGAGAAACAATTAGTGTGCGAGGTGCTGTGTGTTGCGAGATAGCGCTTGGCGAGTAGGCGAACCAGTGAGGGCTGCGCAGAGGGATCAGCCAGCTCCCCGTGGCCCCAGGTGAATGCCCCAAGTGACTGCCCCAGGTGACTGCCCTACGTGCTGAGCCATCTAGAAACAAGTCCCGAGGTGCGAGCGAGTACCTGGCGAGTAGGCGAACCAGTGAGGGCTGCGCAGAGGGATGAGGTGCAGCCAGCTCTCCGTGGCGCCCAGGTTACTCCTCTGCCTGGTCGGAGAGAGACGCGGGAGATGCGGGAGATGCGGGAGATGCGGGGGATGGGGAAGATGGGTTAGATGAGGGAGGTGCGGGAGATTAGCAGGAGGGGATGATAGAGAGGAGTCTCGAACGAGGCATTATAACCACAAAGAGAGGAGGGTGATGGCTCGGAGGGCTTTGGGCCACGGAATAAGAGCGTCACTTGAATTGACGTCAATTCAAGAGGTGCTTTTCAAAATAGTTCCAATTCGTAGTGCGTAAGTCGTTCGTTGTTAACTCGTGGCGAGTATCAGTAGCAGTTGCATAGTACTAGTGATAAATTTCGGTCGTCGAATCTCACGTGTACAGCTCGGACCCTTCGATTGCGGCGTGCCAACTCCTACAGACCAGCTTGAGAGATCCATAGAGGCCACGTGGCACGCGAGCCAAGCATGACAGTGCCACGTCATCCGGCAAGCCTGGTAGTAGGCAGCCGCCGACAACGGTGGCCATGTCGCACAGACGAGAACCAGCAGGTTGAAATAAGGGGGAAAACGATTTTTACTGTGTGTTCACCCTAACGGATGGGCACTGCGCGGGCTGTAATACTTCGTCTCTAGGTTTCGGAAGTCAGAGCTGTGGCTTCATAGTCGGAGGAATTTCAAGCATCTACCGAATTAGTTCAGTGGTCGCAGATTTGGTGACTTTTGGCTCGATACAGCACTCTGCGACAGAGTTACATTCGAATTCTTAAATATGTTGAATAAGGTTGACAATTCGCCTCCATATCAGCAGAAGTTTCCGATCACTGTGCCCCACGTTCACGGCACAACCCCGCGAATCCAGCATTCTCCGCACGCAGGCTTCACGGCAGAGCCTTCAGAAAGTTTTCTCCACGCGTGCAGCATGCCCGCACCGTCAAGAGATTTTTTTCGTGGCTGTCCACACGTGGCGGTCCATTTTCGGAATGTTCCCTCCCCCTAAAAGGGAAAAGATCATATTAGGGCCGAACAGTGCCAGAGAGGTGATCGAAGTAGGGCCAAAAAATATAGACCGTAGGATTTCAACCCGGAGCTGACCAAACGACTCGGCGAACACGCCGAACCATGAGTAAAAGAAATTGCTAAAACGAAACAGTTCTCGTGTTCATTTTCGTTTTTGACGGTTTTGACCGACGTCTACTACAGCGCGCGCGTCGCCTTCTTCTGGAATAAAACATTCGACGTGTCAAATCGTGTGTACGTAACAACATAATATATTCTGGGTGTTACATGTCACCTAGTTGATCGGAAACGCACGGAAAAAAAAAGTACCCATTGGGAAACGGATGCGACTCGGGAGGCATCAACCCTAAAAACCAGGAAGGTCCCCTCTTTTAGGCTTGATCCATCCCGAAATTGCATCCAGGTTCCCTACGAGTTTTAGTTTGTTTTGGCTGCCCAAGAGTTCCCGGTTGAGTCGGCTCGCTAAACGACACGCATGCGAAAACGCGAGCCGGTCCATGCCACTAGTAACATATTTACGTGCAATAAACAAGGACCTCTTGTTAATCACGCCTCGCGACCTGGTTTGGTAATTTTCGGGCCTCTCGGCCCCTGGTCGATCACCCCTCTGGCACTGATCGGCCCCTGTATGATCTTCTCCCCCCCTGAAACACAGTCGCCATTACCACCCCTTAATTACCGCCACTTGGCAGGTAACGACTGGTGCCTTGAATTTCAAACCTTTAAATGGGGTCTCAAAGTTGAGCTGTGTTCCGGCGATGCTGATGAAAGACAATCTCTAGGGGTATTTCGTTTTCTTGAAGTGGTAACTCTAATCTAACGGTCCGATTTTACGCTAAGCCGCTGTTACACGATGAAGTTTAATAACAGCGACACTGAAAGTGCTACCTTTATGCAACCTGTACGATTGAACAGCACAGGCCATACGGGCCCTAGCAATTCATGGTTCCTCTGTGGAAGTCCAATACAGCTCCCTATTTTATCACTTCACTTCATGGCCCTAATCTAAATAGCAGTCTCTCGTCTTCCTGACGACGAACATGCAGAACATCATTATCCTTGATCCAAGTTTCTGACCCTAGGGGTACATGCTTGCTTAGCTCGTAGCGAACTTGGTGTCTCAGTTGTAAGAATCGTGAATTAGACCTATAGTTAGAAGATTAAGGATAGAGTTAGGGATATAGATTTCAGGATGGGGGCGTACTTGACGCATCCAATAACGGATAAAGAGTCGGAGAATGGCGAGGACGATCGCATACGGTATGCAGCCGCGTCAATGCAAGGCTGGCGAATGACAATGGAGGACGCAGTAAGTTTTCTTAACGCACCTTAAACCATCAGTGGGAGACGCGGTTAGCGTCGTATTCACAGCAACTCTTTCGTCGCTTTCTTCGCTTTGCCATTCTCAGTATTTGTCAGTCGGTTTTACCAGAAAGTGTTGTTTCGCTTTCGCGTTCGTCCATGCAACCACCTGTCGTAACAGCACGCCTTTGTCGCTTTGTCTTGATGCGCTTACCCTCTCTAACAGCACGCCGCGGTGCTGGATACTAACGGGGATGGACGGCCAGAGGTGTTCGCTGTTTTCGACGGTCACGGGGGTAAGCTCACATGCTTCCCTATGCCCATTCACGTGTAGCGGGACGTCTCGAAACGAGTCCCGTTTCCGTCGTATGTATCTCTCGCGTAGAACACTTCGGTCGCCCTTTCGAAGCACCGCCGTAGCACATTCTTATTGCAGGTCGCACAGTTATTTGACCCTCTCTCTCTCTCTCCCCCCCTCGCCACATGTTCCCGCGGAAGGCAACGAGATGGCAGCGTTCTGCGGTCGGCACCTACCAGCGCAGCTGGTTATAGACTCAACTCAGAATACTCCGTTTCAACCCCTCCACTCCGCTTCTCCCCCGCTTACATCTACCCGTGTTTTCGCCCGCGGCAGGCAGCGAAGTGGCAGCGTTCTGTGGGCGGCACCTACCAGCGCAGCTCGCAACGGCTCTCGAGGCCAACCCGGGGGACATTCCCAAGGCTCTCATATCCACCTTCTTTAGGTGTGAAGGAATGCTAGTTTCAAGGCTCCCTTTCGTCCTCATTTCCTATGATTTGCTTCGTCGCCTGAACCATGGCTTACGTTTCCTTGCAGCTAGTTTGGTTTGGTTTTTGTGGGCCGTTGTGCGACGGGTGTTGCCGAGTCATCCGAGCAGAAGCCCTTTTTTTTCCCTTAAGATGGACAAGGAGTATGATTTGTTGAAGGACAAGTTTCGTCAACTCTCGTCATTATGTATTAATGTACATGACATTTGTTTTTCGGTCTACAGGATGGACGAGATGATGGCGCGCGAGGAGCACCGGGCGGAGCTGCAGCAGCTGGCGAGCGAGGGGAAGGAGAGTGAGGACGCGCGGCTGAGACAGGAGGAGCGAGAAGCGCGCCGAGGCGAGGGCGAACGCAGCGCGCTCGTTGCCTCTGTGTTCGGGGCTGGTGAGGAGGAGGAGGAGGAAGAGGAGGAAGAGGAGGAAGAGGAGGAAGAGGAGGAAGAGGGGGAAGAGGAGGAAGAAGGGGAAGATGAGGAGGAGGAGGGGGAAGAGGAGGAGGAAGAGGAGGAAGGGGAGGAGGTTGAGGAGGGTGAGGAGGAAGAAGAAGAGGATGAGGAGGATGAGGAAGGGGAAGAGGCGGATAGTGGTGGGGAGGTGGTAGGAGAGGGGCCTAAGGGCGGGGCATTGGAGAGCAGAGCAGATGCAGCAGAGGAAAAGGGGTTAGAAAGAATACAGGACGGCGCGGCGGGTGGAGCAAGTGAAACGGTTGGATGCCAAGGTGTGGAGCAAGGGGAGAAGCAGGGGCGGGAGCAAGGGGAGAAGCAGGGGGGGGAGAAGGAGCAGGGAGGAAGAAGCCGTGCAAAGCGGAAATCAAAACCCAGGAGAAGCACTAGCGCGTTAGGCGCACAGGGGAAGGGCGCATCTGCAGATGAAGAGGAGAGCGGCAAGGGGAAGGAGACGGGGAAGGAGGGTGGGAGTGGTGCAGAGAAGGCTGAGAGTAGTGGAGAGAAGGTGGAGAATGGTGGAGAGAAGGGGGAGAGTGGTGGAGAGAAGGTGGAGAGTGGTGGAGAGAAGGGGGAGAATGGTGGAGAGAAGGTGGAGAATGGTGGAGAGAAGGGGGAGAATGGTGGAGAGAAGGTGGAGAGTGGTGGAGAGAAGGTGGAGAGTGGTGGAGAGAAGGTGAAGGGCGGTGAGGAGAAGGGTGAGAGTGGTGGGCGGAAGAAGAAGAAAAAAGCGAACAAGAGGAAGAGGGAGGGCGAGCGGAAGGAGGGAGGGACGAGGGCGCGCGTGCATTCGTCGTCACTGTCGTCCAGCCTCATCAAGATGTTTCTCGCTGACGTTGTTAGGCGAGCCAAGGAGGAGAAGGAGAAGGAGGGGAAGGAGAAGGAGAAGGATGGAGGAAAAGGGGAGGAGGGGAAGGACGGGCAGAGAGGCAAGGATGGGAAGGGCAGAGTAGCGAAGGGTAAAGGACGGGCGAAGAGCAAGGGAGGAGACGGAGGAGAGAAGGAGAAGGGGGATGAGGGAGGGAAGGGTGTGGGGGAGACGGAAGAGGTGAAAGGTGGGGAGGAAGGGGAGGGAGAGGAGAGGAAGGAGGGAAAGGAGGGGGAGGGTGATACAGAGATGGTGGTGCAGAGACGGGAGGAAGGAGAGCAGGGGGCTGGAGGCGAGGAGTTGGAGGAAGAGGACGAGGAGGACGCTGAGGGAGCAAAGGTGTGTGAGGTGGTGAGTGGTAGTGCGTGGTAATGAGTGGTAGTGCGTGGTAATGAGTGGTAGTGCGTGGTAATGAGTGGTAGTGCATGCTAGTGTGTGCGTGTGCTTCTCGGTGTGTTGGTGTATCATGCCTTGCCTCCCCTGTTAACTCTGACAAAGACGTGTCAAAGAAGCACCGCCCTCCCAATGCAGGCAGGCCTGTCCCAACTCCCCCAACCACCACCCTCTCCCTCCCTCGCCCCACACGCACCCACCAGCCAATATTCATGATCAATAGAGGGACAGGGGCACCCCAAAAAGCTTATCATGGGCCCGAGGCGGGGTGCACGGTGGTGGTAGGAGTGGTGGCAGGGAAACAGCTCGTGGTGGCGAATGCGGGCGACTCGCGGTGTGTGGTGAGCCGCGGAGGCGAGGCGGTGGAGATGGCTCGAGACCACAAGCCCCTCTTCCTCCATCCCATACCTTCCCAATCCCCCCAACCACACCCACCCCCCCCCCCCCCCCCCCCCATGCACACCCACCAGCCAATCTTTATGGTCAAGAAAACGACACCCCAGAAGGCCTATCGGGGCCCCGAGGCGGGATGCACGGCGGTGGTAGCAGTGGTGGCGGGGAGGCAGCTGGTGGTGGCGAATGCGGGCGACTCGCGGTGTGTGGTGAGCCGGGGAGGAGAGGCGGTGGAGATGTCGCGAGATCACAAGCCCACCATGCCGGAGGAGCGCAGGAGAATTGAGCAGTCGGGGAAGTTCGTGTCGGACGGCCGGATAGACGGCTGCCTCAACCTCTCCCGTGCCCTAGGTAAACCCTTCCCACACCGCCCTGCACGCGCCCCCCCTCCTCCCTCCCCGCCCTCTTCCCCTCCTCGTCCTCCCTTTGCTTAGATCGAGCAGGCGCATTGAGCAGGCGTGGAATGTATAACCTATAAACACGCGTATGTGTGTGCGTGTGTGTGTGAATCTATGGGTGAGCAGGGGACATGGAGTACAAGCACAGGCCTGATCTACCTCCAGAGAAGCAGGCAGTCACGGCATTGCCTGAAGTCAAATCGGTAAACCCCTCCCAGCGCTTCTGCAGTAGCGATCAACTCGTAACCCCCTGCTATCAAGTCAGTTCTATCTCAAATCATAGACACGAACTTCTTACTGAAAGCATTTTTTCCAGAGGCACATTTGGTAATTGCTCTACCAGAAATTACACTTACTATGCTCCTGATGGCTCCCCTTACCTGCGTTTCCCCCAATCCATGTATCCCCATCCCTGCATCTCGTCCCATGCCTGTCGCCCCACAAATGTAACCCTTCCGCAATCCGCATTTGTGGTTTCCATACCGCCCTGTTCTGTCATTGCAGGTTGATTTATCGGATAAAGACGAGTTCATTGTGCTTGCATGCGATGGCATCTGGTAAGTTTCTTTCCTTTACAGCCCAAGTCTCCCTTTCAGGGTTTTCCTCACACACCCACTCGGGCGTGTGCCAGCTCAAACGGTTAAGCCTCAGAGGTCCCGTTATGTCCGGTGCTCAATGCAATTTTCTTTCTCTCATCTATCCAACCACCCGCCGCCCGCCTGCCCTGCCTGCTTGCCTGCCTGCCCGCCTGCCTACCCGCCTGCCCGCCCGCCTGCCTGCCCACCCGCATGTTGCTTGCGTGGCTTCCTGCTTGCAGGGACGTGATGTCAAGCCAAGCCGTGGTCACGTTTGTGCGATCAAGGCTGGCGAAAGAGGTGAGGGTGACGTGTGGAGGCGTGTGCAGGGAGGAGGAGGAGGAGGAGGGAGGGAGACCCCAGGAACCTCACGTATGGTATCATTAAGACTCATGATTCATCGTGCCTTTGGTTCAATTCCTCTTGTGTTTGGTTTGGCCCTCCCAAGGGCATACACTCACCACCTAATCACTTGGTCTCTCATCACTCATTACTTCATCACTCATCACTCATTGTGCCGGCCGGCTCTGCAAATCCTGTTCTTCCTTTCCTCTCTTTCCCTTTCAGGTTCCTCTAACCGACGTGTATGCACAGCTCATGGGCGCATGCATGATCTCATCTCCTCACAAAATCACCTTGCCTTGCCTCTTGACTTTGCCCCTCCCAGGTGCCCCTAACCGACATATGTGCACAGCTCATGGATGAATGCATTGCTAAGGATGCGCACTCATCGCCTCTCGGCCTGGACAACATGACAGTCATCATCGCACAGCTCAAAGCCACCATGTGGCAATCCCCTCCTTTGCCTCCCAAAGAATCCTGCGAGGCCTCTTTCACCTTTGACAAACCGACACATTAGTCTCAAGCACGCACTCGTCTTGTCGCATCTAGGCCTGACAACATGGCAGTCATCATTTCCCAACTGGAACCCGCCATGTGGCAATCACCTTAGGTACCCAACACTGCGGCCTCCTCGCACTAGGCCTCAATCAAGCGGTCACTCTTTCATCGCATCTTAGCCCTGACAACATGACAGGCGTTCTTCTCACACTGCGAAAACCCGCCAAACCTGTCTGTTCACAATATCTGTAGCCTGTTATGTGGTAGAAAGCAGATATAAAGTTCTTTACCAAATGATGGTTCCAATAGTGTAGCTTTGCAATCTCTAGTAAGTTTCCTACTCCATCAGTTTTTGCTGTAAGGAACTGGGAACATCATTTTGCATTTAGTGCCACGAGTTATGGCAGTTTAAAACTGTGAATCGAGTGATGGTTCAAGCTGCAAGCATTTATCTGTACAACTAAACATACACAAAGGCCATCTCGGATATACTCTGCTCCTCATAAGAGCCTCTTATCAACTCTTGGGGCACTTCCCTGTGTTACTGCAACAATTGTTACATGTTACATGTCACAGAGCTCAAATCAGGTTACCACCAGCTCCAGGCTCCAGTGCTTGTCGTGGCATCTGCTATTCTGGATATTTGATGTGTTATGCTCCGCTCCGCACTCCATGTACCATGGAGGTACATTGACTCATGGAGCATCAACTCCTGTCTCGTCATCAACTCATGTCTTGTGATCGCCCAGTGCTCACCTCACGTGATGGTCCAGCTCTTGTGTCGGGAGAATGCGAGGAAGGTGGGGAAGGTGGGGAAGGTGGGGAAGGTGGGGAAGGTGGGGAAGGTGAGGAAGGTGGGGAAGGTGGGGAAGGTGGGGAAGGCGAGGAAGGTGAGGAAGGAGAGGACGGTGAAGAGGATTATTTTTAGGTGCCTCCAAAATGAGGAAGGTAAAGAGGAACGTGAGGAGAAAGGTCAATGTGTTCATGATTATCAGTGCTCACGTCAAGTGATGGTCCAATTCTTGTATCGGAAGAATGCGAGGAAGGCGAGGAAGATGAGGACACCGCCCACACCCGAGTCAATGAGGATCCACTTGAGGGCCGACGGGTCCTCCTCCAGGCCCAAAGGCACGTTCATCCCAAACGTGCCCGCTATCACCCCCCACAGCGCCACCACGAACCCTGCCATTGCGTTTTGTCCGCGGTAATAGAAGCAGGAAAGAGACCGGGGGAGAAGCAGGAAAGAGATGTGGGGAGCAGGAAGTTTGAGTATCAGGACGGGCACAAGAGACGGTGCTTGACTAAAGGTGTCGTCCCCGCACCGCCCACACCCGAGTCAATGAGGATCCACTTGAGGGCGGATGGGTCCTCCTCCAATCCCAGCGGCACGTTCATCCCAATCACCCCCCACAGCACCACCTCGAACCCTGCCAATGGATGGGAAGAAGTAGATAGGTGGGATTGCAGGGGGCAGCAGGAAACAGGTGTGGGGAGAGAAGGAGGGAGTGGTGAGTGTTTGCACAGGCCTGGGACTGTGCTTGAGTCAACATGACCTTCCTGCACTGCCCACCCACCCTCCTCTCCAGTCCCAGAGACACAATCACCCCCCCCAGCCCCACCACAAACCCTGCCAGAAAGTTGTGGGAGGCAGGAAAGAGGGAGAGTGGGTAGAGGGAAGCGGTGTGGGGAGAGGCAAGGGAGGGAGACTGTTTCACCTCAACCTGCTCACCTTGAGTTGCTCGTGTAGCACAGAGCGATACACACATCCCGTTTAAGCGGTGATGCCGAAACTCACCAGTGGACAGGAACCATACACCCATCAACAGAAACCAGACACTCAGCAGCAGCAGCAGCAGCAGCAGCAGCAGCAGCCACACACTCATTCACGCACCAGCGGTGGTCATGATGAGTTCGAATTGAATGAGCTGATTGCGAACATTATCCAGCTGAATATTAATGAAATCCTCCGTGTCATCAATGTACTGCGACAGCTGCGTCAGCTTGTTCAGCGTGCCATCAATCACCACAAAGTATGCCTCCAGCAGCATTTCTAGTTCCTCCACGTTCTCCACACTTGTCGCCGTGCTGTCACTGGCGCTGTGCGCACCGCTCCAGAAGCTGATGGACGGCGGCGCTCCACCCAAGCCGGACGGCCGACCGTCGAGGTAGTGGCTTCCCTGTGGTTGAATGTGGGAAGGAGAGGAGAGGGGAAACGGGAAGAAGGAGGGGGTGGGGGTCAGCTTGTCCAGCATGCCATCAATCACCACAAAGTATGCCTCCAGCAACATCTCTAGTTCCTCAACGTTTTCCACGCTCGTTGCCGTGCTGTCACTTGCACCCATCCCCGACGGCTGACCGTCTAAGTAGTGCCTTTCCTGGTAGTTGTTGAAGGGGGGTTGGTGGGAGGCGAGGCGAGGAGTCTGAGAAGTCGCAAAGGAATGCCCCTCCGCAATAGGTTGTGAGTGTGGGGTTGGGGGATGGGAAGAAGAGTGTACCATCAATCACAACATGGTATGCCTCCAGCAGCATCTCTAGCTCCTCCACGCTTTCGACACTTGTCTCCACTCCGTGCTGTCACTCGCGCTGTGCGTGCCAGTCCAGAAGCTGATTGGCGGAGCAGGGCCCAAGCCTGACGGCCGGCCGTCCAAGTAGCGGCTTCCCTGTGATCCGTTGTAGGCGGGGGGAGGATGGAAAAGGAAAGGTTTGATTTGATTTGATCTGTAGGCACACGCTCGGATTAACTAAAGATCAAACTTTTAAGACCAACTCCTTGGGGATGTGTGAGTGCAAGCGAGAGGGGTCATTTTTCAGGCTCGAGAGAACCAAAAGTCGCCGGTGTCGCACTGCGGCCGGGCTCCCATCCGCTCTCAATCCTCCTGTCCCTCTCAACCCACACTCCCTCGAAGTGTGCGAGTGCGAGTGGTGGCTGACAATCACTGCAACAAGCAGCAGACGCACATGTTTCGTGGGCGAGCCAGCTGCAGAGACGTTTGAAGGGCCTTTTGAGGCCTTTTGAGGCCGTGGGCACACGTGCCGTGGGTGGGCGAGGTGAAGCAAGGTTGTTTTTGAGACGTCTCAAAAACGAGCCAGCTGCAGAGACGTTTCAAGGGCCTTTTGAGGCGCACACGTGCCGTGGGTGGGCGAGCCAGCTGGGGAGACAGGGGCTGAAATGGCCGACCCCAACCCAGCCCCCAACGTACTCTCTCAGGGCGCGCGAGTGCAATCCAAGCGCAGCGGTCGCTGCAGTCGTCATGATGTGGGCCCGGCCGCCTACTCTCAATCCCCCTCTCTTCTCTGATCGAACTCACATGTTTGGTTGGAGAACCAGCTGCGGAGACAGGTGCAGAGATTGAAGACCCAACCCCTCCAAAGGACTCCCTCGGAATGTGCGAGTGGTCACTGCCGTCGTCGCGGTGCGCCCCCCCTCGCTCACTCTCGCTGCGCTCCTCTGCTTCTGTCCCTCGTACCAACCCGCCATGTTTGCCAAACCTACATGCTAGCCAAGCCTACAAATAAGCCAAACCTACATGCTAGCCAAGCCTACAAATAAGCCAAACCTACATGTTTGGTTGGAGAGCCAGCTGGCGACACAGGAGCAGAAATGGACGATCCGAACCCCCCAAGGGACTCCCTCGGAGTGTGCGAGTGGTCGCTGCCGTCATCCCGGTGCCCCCCTAATCGCTCGCTCTCACTGCGCTCCTCTGCCAGCAGGCGCTTCTGGGTGAGGTACATCTCCGCCATGTCCCCATCGTCATCCATCAGTTGCTCTATCTCGTCCCTCACCTTCCAGAGGGGTTCACAGGCGGTGAGCAGGGGTGAGAAGGGGTGAGAAGGGGTGAGAGGGGGTGGGATGGGGTGATAATGCGCTTCTGGGTGAGGTACATCTCCGCCATGTCTCCATCGTCGTTCATCAGTTGCTCTTTCTCGTCCCTCACCTTCCAGAGGGGTTCACAGGCGGTGAGCAGGGGTGAGAGGGATTAAGAGGAGGTGATAAAGAGGACAGGGGGTGATAGGGGGTGGGAGGGGGTCACAATAGGCTTCTGGGTGAGGTACATCTCTGCCATGTCCCTGTCGTCGTCCATCAGCTGCTCTATCTCGTCCCTCACCTAAAGGCGGCGACAGGGGGTGGTCACAGGTGGTAGCAAAAGGAGTAACAGCGGGTAAGAAGGGGTGCGAACGGGTGAGAAGGGGTGAGAGAAATGACAGTGTGCTTCTGGGTGAGGTACATCTCTGCCATGTCCCCACCGTCGTCCATCAGTTGCTCTATCTCGTCCCTCATCTCCCCAGGGGGTGACAGGGGGTGGCCACAGATAGGTGGTAGTAACAGGGGTGACAGGGGGTGAGAAGGGGTGCGAAGGTGTGAGAAGGGGTGCGAAGGGGTGAGAAGGGGTGACAATGGGCTTCTGAGTGAGGCACATCTCTGCCGTGTCACCATCGTCGTCCATCAGCTGCTCTATCTCGTCCCTCACCTTGCCTAGGTGGGGTAGGTGGGGCCAGCAGTGAGTGGCAGGGCAGGGAGGGATGACAGGGGTGGAGGTAACAAAGGGTAATTCGCATGCGCACAGGCAGGAGGAGTGCGAGAGAGTGCGAAAACAATACCTTCTGCACATGTGAATGTGGCAGAGGGGACAGGAAGGTGGAGGAGAGGGTAGGGGATGATACATTCTGCACTTTTGAGGCGCCTCAAAACATGAGACGACTTTTGAGACGCCTCAAAACATGAGACGAATTTTGAGGCGCCTCAAAAGGGGACGGGAAGGTGGAGAGGGTGGGGGATGACACATTCTGCACGCGTGAATGTGGCATAGAGAGGGGCGGGAGGGGGCGAAAGGTGATACCTTCTGCACGCGACGAGAGAGGCCCAGCAGGCGCTGACGGCGAAAGATGCAGAGCACCAACTCGAGAGGGGAGGGAAGGAGGGCGGTCAGCCACACCTTTTTTGAGGCGTCTCAAAAAGAGGGGAGGGAAGGAGGGGGGTCAGCCACACCTTTTTTGCACACGGCGGGGTGAGGGAAAGGT